GTTTTGACAATAGAAGTCCCCAAGAGAATTTTCTCCAAGTCCCTCATGATCTCTTTAGCATCCAACACCAGTGAACGACTGTTTAGCATTAATTCAACAATTAAGACCTCTGATAACTATAAAAATATCACTCCCTGTTTGTCTACTCTCTTTTTCTTCTTCAACCGACTTGGAGGGAAAAAATAGTTGGAACTCTTCCATGAACATTAGAACTTTAAATACCTCACATTACTTAATCTTTTCAATACACTGTGCGGATTATTGTTCTGAACTGAGTACTCTGTAATAATCTCACCTGGAACTGTTTCATTGCAAACAAGTATCTGTTTAGTCTCATACCAAGCATGCTTTGTAGCCACTGGACCACAACTAGGTTCAGATCTCAGCATGCTCCGGTGAACAAGTATAGAGTTTGATTTTAGATTATTAAATATCTTGTATACTATGAGATAATGGCAACATTTACTAATTGGTCTAGCATGCCTAGGAAATGGGTAGGGATAGAAATTGATTATAAGAGGGGACCAAGAAACATGGCATACAAACTTGGCTGTTTTCCTCATGAAGTTATATGGCCACAGTTACCAAAGATTCAAGATGTAAAGTGTTCATTCATTCACACAGCCGGAAATGGTTTTAATAGCTTATTATGTTGGCCACTGAAAATTAGATCCAACAGTTGCCTTTATCCAGTGTGGTTGAGATGTCAGGAATATTTAGGTAGACTATAAAGCAAGGACTCACAACTCACAGTGACCCTGTGAACAGCAGGTCTGAACCTTGCCCTATCCTGTGTGATCTCCACGGAGTAGCAATGGGCAAGTAAACAGAGTTTAAATGTCTTTGATGAAATAGTATTGTCATGTGTTGAACAACAAGAATATCTTCCCACTACTGTTCTAGGTATGGACACAATTAAGTGCTTGACTGCTAACTGGAATATTGGTAGTCTGAATCTATTTGGAGGCTCTGCACGAAAAAGACGTAATGATCTACTTCTGTAACTATTACAGCCAATAAAAGCCTATGAGGCAGTTCTACTTTGTCACATGGAGTCAGTAGGAATTGAAAATAACTTGATCAACAATTGATCACAGTAATCTCAGAAAGAAAACAGGCAGCCCACAGAAGTGTCCTTCTACAAAGACTTGACCCTTCTTGCAACATGCCCAAAGTATGTCAGATAGAGCTTCAGAATCCTTGCTTCCAAGAAGCAGCCTAATTTCACCCTCTCCAGGATGAATCTACTTATTCTCCTAGCAGTCTGTATAGCCTCTTTCAAACTGCTTGTGCCACCCAGGAACTCATCCATGGAGACTTAAAGCCATTTAAGCCTTAAAGAAAAGGAGCAATGCCAAGATGGGCCACAGGAGGAAGCATCTTTGCATAACACCTCTCTGCACAGTTCTACCCTGAGGAAGCTCCTTCCTATGTCCTGGTAGACAGTATCTCTCTCCAACTGCAGGCTTGAGCCAGGCCCTCACCCTGGACACATGGGCACTGTCTTAGTTATCTAATGCTGCTGTGTCTGAGTACCATAAGCGGGCAGTTTTAGGAAGTTAGAAGTCCAAATTCAGGGTGCCAGCAGGAGAAGCTGGTTACTCAACATCAAGGCGCTTCCTCATGCAAATAAGTGTCTAAGTCCAAAAAAAGAAGAACTACACTCCTTGAAATGTTTCCTTGATGGTAGTGAAATTCCCCACAGCCACCGACACTCCATCTCTTTTGTTGGCTGTCCATCCCTTTAGTCTCTAAAATGAGAAAAGATCTTTCACAGGTCACAGCCTAAATGCCCCTTTCATCCAGTTAGGACTGTGATGAAATTAAGGAGGTTTGGGTTCCACACTTGACTCTTATATCTATTTGATTTATCCATCATGGGGGATTAGTACCTCATTTCCACATCATATCATTGTTGTTGTTCAACATGCCTAATATGTCAATATTTATGCATTCCATAAAAATGTCCAATTTTCCTACATTTATACTTCTTGCCTTCCAACCATTAGTGTCTGTTTACAACTGTTGCTCCTCCTTTGTGATTCCCAATAGGAGGACTCAGCCTCTGGTACCGTATCTGCTAGTCTCATCTTAGTGCACTGTATTGTATATAGGGTTTTCGAAGGCCTGTTGTTTCAAAGTAGATGGCCAATCCTTCTCCCTAGTCTGTCTTACTTTGGATGCTCAGCTTTAAAGCATCTGACAGATGAACATTTAACCAAAAAATCAGATTAAAGACCCTTCCTCATTACACAGCTAACAGACTCGGTGTTAGTGCCACCCACTCCCACTTTCAGTGCATGTGTCCTGGTCTGTGCCCAGCCCTGGCCAGCATCTCACTCCATTCCCTCTCCTCACCCTGCCAACACTTCCTTCTCCCCCTCCACCGAGCCAGCCCTGGCAAGATGGCTCAGGCCACTGGCTGCTTCTGTCTGCTCATTTCCTCTCTATTTCCCTGTAATATTGGTACGTGTTGTTACGTGCCATTGAATCTGAATCAACTCATAGTTGCTTCTCCAGCAGGTTTTCAGAGGCCGTAGTGAGAGGAGATTGCTCATCAGTCTCCGTCTGAGCAGCTGGTGGATTCAAACCCCCTGCCTTTGTGTTGGCAGTGAAACTCCTTAACACTAAGCCACTAGTGTCCTCTGTTATATCATTATGCACATGTGTTTGGGAGAGGAGGGGGCACAAAGTTCTGTCAGGACAAGCTGTGACTTGTCACCTCATCTCACAGGACCCTTCATCCACTGAAGCTTCACAGTCCTCCTTTGAGGGCACTGTCTAATGTGCTGAGCCCTTTCCCACTTCTAGGCCTTAATATCTCATTCTGGGCATGTCTTCCCCTTATCCACACCTCAAGTGACTCTATCTCTCCCCTGAATCCAACTCCAATGTCACCTCTAAGAGACCTTGCTTGGTGGCCAATCTAAGTTCTCTGCTATTCTAATTCTTACACTTTGCCTTTAACTTATCATGTAATTTGTAATTATTTTATATCTTGTTTCTTCTGCCTAGTTCTGACTCCATCTCCAGACTCTAAGTTGCTGAAGAGCAGGTTTATGGTTCTGCCTGGCACATAGTAGGAGTGTAACATATAATATATGGCAGAATGAATCAGTAAATAATTTTCTACCCAAGTCAAACTTTTTAAAGCCAATTATCTCACAGGGCAGGATTTTTACTCTTGTGCCAAAAGAAAGTCCATGGAAATCCTGCTACTGTAAGTAACTTTTTTTTTTTAACTAACTCCTTAATTTACCTAAAGGAGCACAGGTGATGTGACGCACTGCATGTTCGGTTGCTAACTGAAAGGTAAGTGGTTTGAATCCATCAATCACTCCTTAAGAGAAAGATGAGGCAGTCTGCTCCCATTAAGAATCACTATCCTGCGCAAGGATGGCACGCAAATTCGTGAAGTGTTCCATATTTTTATGAGGTGGATTGATTCAGTGATTGGGATAATTGGGATGGGAGTGTCAGAGACAGTGCGATTGGCACAGGACAGAGCGGAGTTTAGGGCTGTTGTACATAGGGTCGCTATGAGTCGCAGGCGACTCGACAGCACATAACAACAACAACAACATCTAGGCAAGCTCTGGTGGCCTAGTGGCAAGAAGCTGCATTGCAATCCCAGAAGTATGCAGTTCAAATCCACCAGGTGCTCTACTGAAGAAGGAGGGACAATCTCCTCCTCTACCAATCAGATCCAATTTGACGGTACACACACACACACACACACACACACACACACACTCAGAAACTCAACAGAGGGTCACCATGAGTAGGAATCTACTCTGTAACAAATGAGCAGATTAACAAACATTCATTAGTAACTGCCATGCAGCAAGCGAGGTCCCTGAGTGACAGTTAATGAGCTTTGCACCTAACCAAAAGCTCTGTGTCCACCCAGAAATGCCTAAGAAAGGCCCGCGGAAAAAAAAAGACTTCAGAAAAATCAGCCACTAAAATCTTTACAGAGTTCAGTTCTGCTCTGACGCACGTGAGATTGCTGGGATCAGAACTGACTCAAAGGCAACTGGTTAGACAGCAAGGATCATGGGAGGCGCCACGTACATGAACATTGATTAGTCTCTCACTCTGTCCTCAACAAACTATCAACAATCAGTCTCCTACCCTTCCTCATTTATTCGGTCATTTAGGCACCCAACAGTCATTAAGTCTTAGTTTCTAACAAGCAAAGATTGTGGTAGGTGTTGGAGATGCCTTGTCTTTAGGAAAACCCTAGTCTAATTGATGTCTTTGAATTACGGTGTTGGAGAAGAGTACTGAATGCCCCATGGACTATCAAAAGAACAAACAGCTATGTCTTGGAGAAGGTGTAGCTACAGTGTTCCTTGGAGGAAAAGATGATGAAGCTTCATCTCACATACTTTGGGCATGTTGCTAGGAGAGCTATTTCTTGGAGAGGGACAGGTGCTTGGGAAAGCAAGACAGTGGAGGAGAGGAAGACCCTCGACCAGGTAGACTGACACAGTGACTGAAGCAAGGTGTTCAAGAATATCAGAGATGATGAGGATGGCACAGGTCAGGATAGGGTTCAGATCACAGCATCCCTATGAGTTGTACTTGACAGCGTAACAACAACAGCCTAATTGAAGAACCTTGGGCTGCCATCCTCATCCATTCGTTCAGTTGGTCACTAAAATGTCACCAGTGACCTGTGCCAGCATCTTGGACAGAATTCCTACTGGATGACCCAACAGAGGACTCTTCTGAGTGTCTCCTAGCAACAAGACCTCCCTATGGAATCCCAGCCTCTTATCAGGGCTCCCCCTGTTGCTATCATGATGTGAGCAGCCCTTGGTGGCAGCCGCCAGAGCCCATAGCAGCATCTTCCCAAAGCATGCTGGGGGCTAACTCTGATACCATTGTCTGCAGAAAACCATGAGCCCATCCATCCATCGGGACAACCAACCCTGCAGCCACCTGCCTAAGCCCCTCCTGGCACTTTTTGACACCTGGAGATCCTGCTAACTGAGATGCATCCATTCTGGAAGCGTCTCATTCTCCTCGGCCTGGTGGCCCTTTCCTTGGTGCTGCCCAGGCAGCCCTGGCCTGGCCTGGCCCAGGCCCACACAGAGAGCAGATCCATCCTGGCAAGAAGTAAGCTGAGCTCCTTGCTCTGCCTGCTGCCCTCAGGGTGGGATGGGGAGGTATCATCCTGGTCCATCACTGGCAGTAAGTCATTCATTTTCTTACTCTTTTCTCAGACCTCAAATACACAGCATATGAATAGTCCTATGCCTATTCATAGCATAACATTGTCATTAATCACTCTTTTGTTTGATTTGATGCTGTTTTCCACTTGACTTCTTACTCCTAATCCCACAGAGGCCCAGGGGAATTTTCAACTATGACAGCTATTTTTTAACAACTAGCCAGCCCCTATGCTGAGGTGGTATTATTTCTTTCTCCTATCAAACCCTGCAGAACATTTTACAAATGGAGAATCTCATCTGAGAGGTGGAGGGTGACAAGCTACAATCCTTCAGCCAAGAAGGGGTGCACTGCTTGTCACCCAGGACTCCGAATACCAAATCCTCACTTTTACCATTACCCTGTGCAAACTCACTGGTGGCTTGTCTGTTTTCAGTTCTCCTCCAGGGCCTCTCGAGGAACAATGCTGAGGGCCGGATCCGGGGCCTCCCCCTCCTGAACAGTCTGAATGTCTCAAGGCAAGCAGCCCCTGGGATGGTGGGCTGGCTAATCGGCTGCAGGGGCCTCCAGATGCAGCAGCAAGACAGGTGAGACCCAGGAGCCCACCTGAACTGTGAGGCTCACCACAGGCTTCTGGGGTAAAGGGCAGGAACTGTGGAGGCCTGAAGAAAGGAAAAACTGTCAAAAGGAGAGAGAACTGGAAGTGCCAATACAAGGTACTCTAAGATGTCCTTTGGTGAGACAGTACAACAGGGAGATAAAATAGAAGGCTGAGGACTAGAGCCTCTTGTTGTCGTCGTTGTTGTTGTTGTTGTTGTTGTTGCTAGGTGCTGTCAACTATGACTCATAGCAACCCTATCAACAACAGACCTGACCTCTGCTCTCTCCTGTGCCATCTGACCATCTCTGACAGACTCCAGACCACTGTTAGGCACTGTGTCAGTCCATCTTGTTGAGGGTCTTCCCTTCCTTTGCTGACTCTCACCTTTCTAAGCATGATGTCCTTTCCCAAGGACTGGCCCCTACTAACATGCCCAAAGTACGTGAGACAAAGTTTCATTGGGATTAACTCCTAGCTCAGTCTTGAGAAATTTGCTTGGCCACCCTAGACCTTTATAAAATGGATGCCCAAAACCAAGCCAGGGTAAACATCCGGGGTGCCATGTGATCCGGAACTGGGGCTCAGCATTTGAATGCCCACATTCTTTATTGCTTGATGGCTATACAGGTCATAGGCTTGCACCTCAGTCCTCATCAGTGAAGTGGGTATAATACGTTTACACCCCTCTGAGACTTGTTCTGAGAATTAAGGACCACACACGTGACTTCTCTGGTGCGCGAACTCAAACAAGTTGTGGCTGAATGCACTCTGATTCATGCTAAGCAACTGTGATAATAGAACTGTGAGATAATGGTCAATTTTTCAGTAGTACTGTCTCAGCCCTTTCTTCCAAGAAATCTCTGGCTGTGTTGAAATCACACCCTTTTGGTTAGCAGTCATTTGTACCGCTCAGAATGTGATAGATGCATAATAAATGGTAGCCCGGTGGTAAGGAACTATGCTGCCAACCTAAAGACACAAGGTTCAAATCCACCTGCTGCTCCGAGGAGAAAGACGGACAACCTCCTCCCATGAGATTCGCAGCCTCTGAAAACCTGCTGGAGGGTCAGCTATGAGTCAGTTGTGACTGGACAGCACAGAACAATAACAATAGTGATTAACATTGTCCCTAGCAAGCTGCCTGCTAACCCAAAGGCTTCGCATCTCCTGTAGTTCGAATCCACCAGTGGCTCTGTGGGAAAAGATGAGCAGTCTCGCCCCATTGTGACTCGGAAACCTCATGCAGGTGGCTGTGAGCTGGACCAACTTGCTGGCAGGGAGTTCACTTTGTTGTTGTTGGGGTTGTTTTTAGTGTGTGTGTTTGTGTGTGTGTGTGTATGTTGGAAGTTGTTTTTAATTTTTTATTGGGTTTTTTGGGGGTTTTTTTTTTTAGTGATTACTATACTACCTTGGGCAAATCTGCTGCCAAGGACCTCTTTAAAGTGATACAGAACAAAGATGTCATTTTAAAGACTAGGTGTGAACACTGCATTGGAACAGATGAAGGGAAGAACAGTTTAAAAGGAATATATGATTAGGTATTATTTGTACAGGGATCTCTGGTGGCCTAGTGGTAAGAATCTCTACTGTGATCCCAAAGGCACACGGTTTGAACCCACCAGCTGCTCCGCAGGAGAAGAATGGGCAATCTTCTCCCTTGTGATTGATCAACTGCCTCTAAAAACCCATTGGCATGTCAACTATGGGTCGGTTCTGACTCAGTGATACTCAACAACAACAACATTATTTGTATGACAACAGTTCAGAATAAAGTGCATAGCAAAGTGGACTGAGGGAGGAGGGGAAAAGGAGGGAGAGAGGAGGGAGAGGGAAGGGAAGGGAGAGGGAAGAAATTATGCAACTATGAACGAATACTTTTTTAAAAAGTGAACGGAGGCGGGTAGGGAAGAGAATGTGTAACACTGAATGAATGAAAATCTTTTTCTGTAAACTTTTGTTAAAATCACAGTTTAAAAAATTTTAATAAAAGAAGAGAAAAATACTTAGAAACTAGACTAAAAAAAAATTTTAAAGTAAGATTAGATGCACCTGACTCAAACTTTGGTATTCTTTCTCACTTTACATGCATGTGGAATTTGGACAATGGATTGGGAAGAATGAAGAAGAATTGATGCCTTTGTATCATGTTACTGTTAAAGAATATTTCAAAACAACAAACAAATAGGTCATGGAAGGAATGTAGCCAAGAGTGTTAAAGATACTGAGACTCTGTCTCCCACACTTCATACATGTCTTCAGGCCAGTACCTAGAAAATGACAGAATGCTTGGAAAATAAAGGGTCAGTGAATGAGAGGAAGATCCTCAACAAGGTGGCTGGACACAGTAGCACATCAGTGGCCTTGAGCACAACAGAACTTGTGAGGGTGATGCCAGATTAGGCAGGGAACTTACTCAACAAGACCTGAAAACGTCATTAACCTTTCAGACCTATACTGATTCTACTCACCTCTATTTTAACTGCTTCTCAGACTAAGCAGAAATTTCACAGGGACTGAGTGCTATGAGAAGTCAACAGCATGTTGGGTCAAGGGAGCAGTGAGTGCAAAGGCCCTGGGGTAGGAAAGTGTATGGAGTCTTCAAGGAAGAGTAGCATGGCCTCACAGCTGGGTAAGCAAGGGAGAAAGGCCCTAGTGATGCAGTTGTACGAGTGGGCAGGGACCAGACCCTGGTGGTAGTAAGGGATGAGATTCTATTCCAAGTGCTTTGAGAAATCAGTGAAGGTTGTTAAGTAACAACAAGTATTAGGACACCCATGGCTGCTGTGTGGCAAATAGTCTGTAGCAAAACCAAGCTGGTCACAGGGAGCCCAGTGCATCACCAGACAGGATGTGATGATCATCTGGACCAGACCATAGATCAGGAAGTGGTGGAAAGTGACCAAACTGGGGATGTGTTTTGAAGGCACAGCCAATATGATTAGCTGAGGAAGTGAGTGGCAGGGAGGAAAGATGTCAAGATTGCTTATGAGTTTGGCTTTGGCTACATGGAAGGAGGGCTGCTCTCTGAGATAAAGCAGGCGCTCCATCTGAAAAGCATGTGCTGGGTGTGGGCCTGCAGCTCAGCAGCAGGTAGCTGTGGGTTGCACAAGTCAGTGTGAAGAGCTGAAGGGACCCTCAGCCAGCTCACAGCTCTAGGCTCCTGCTGGGAGCGTTTGCCCTCAGAACATCTATGAGACAACCTGACTCCAGTACTTGTTGCCAGGTGCGCTCTGCAGATAGGCCAGCTGGTCTTAGCCTGGGACCCTGCCTATCTCACACAAGGCCTCTCCCTCTCCCTCTTATAGCATCAATATCACCAACATCCAGCTGCCATATGGCAGGATCCAAGTGTCTTTCCATAAAGAGTGGTTCTCGGCAAATATCTCACTTGAATTTGACATCAGATTTAAACTGTGAGTCCCACAAGAGAGGGTCTGCTGAGGGGGAGGAGCTGGGAGGGGGTGAGGTAGAGAAAGCAAGCACCTTAAGAACCCAAGACTTGCTGAATGCAACAATCTGAGTTCAATTACCCCTTCCATACTCAAGAGGCAAGTCAGTCACTTCAGCTCTCTGAGCCTGGGTTTTTTCAGCGAAAATGTGAATGGAGATTGATGTGGAGGGAGATCATTTGCTCATTTAAACATAGGTGAATTCATTACATTGAACTTGCACCACATTGAGCTTGACTTTTTTTAAAAAAAAACACAAACTCCTCATTAATGATTAAGTAGCTAATAATTCCCTCACTACTCTTTCTTCTTCTTCTTCAATGTGTTTTTTTGTCCAAGGAAAAGGAGGCTAATACTAAATGGTAAAGATCTTGAAAACAGACAATAATTCACAACTTTTGAATTTCTAAAGGAGCACTGGTAGCATAGTGTGTTTATCTGTTGAACTAGCAGTTCAAATCCAGTAGTAATTCCTTGGGAGAAAAAAAAAAATAGTCGTTTTCTTTGGTTAAGATTTACAGCCTCAGAATTCCAATAGGGGATTACTGAGTCAGAATTCATTTGAGGGTGGTAGGTTTGATATGGGGTTTTGCTGGGGTTTGTTTCCCATAAGGCCCCTAATCTGATCTATTGGAAGGATTTTCCAAAGCCACTCTAATTCCACTTTGCTCCCAGTCTGACTTGAATATTTAATTCCCTTTTTCACTGGCATTTGGAAAGGCTCAGAGAGCAAAGGGGAGGCCCAGCCGTGGACGGTAGCTGTCACATGAATTGTCACTCTTCATGCCGGTGGCTTCTATCTTCTTCTACTCTCTGTCTGTCCCCTCTCTTCTCTCTCCTCCTCTTCCTCTCTCTCCTCTCCAGGCCCTTCAATAACAATATTATACCGCTGCACACAAGCACAAGCCTGATTGTGGAATTCTGGCTGGAGAAAGATGAGTTTGGACGGCGAGATCTGAAAATAGGCAATTGCTTTGCAGAGCGCAGCATTGTCGACATGATGATCCTAACTGAGTAAGGCCCCCACTGCCACGCTCCAGCCTGGGCCCCCTTCCTGCCAACCCTGGCTACAAACTCATGCCTCCACCACCTCCTGGGTAAATCAAAATAGACCTCGTCCTTCCCCCTGGATACCAGCTGCTCTTCTCCAATCTGCATTCTGGTGATGCCACCTATCAGGAACCAGTCTCTTCCTCCTCCTCGCTCTCCTCAGGCATCTGTCAGCTGTCACTGGTTCCCATCAATGGCCTCCTGGAAGCACTCTATCCTTCATTTGTCTCTGTTGCAACAGCCACTGCCCTGGCTCACTGCAGCAAATTCATCCCAGGCTTCCATGACCCAGATGTCACCTCCTCCCCTCCATTCTCCACCCTGCAGCAGAAGGAACCTCCTAATACAGAAATCCAGTCCAATATCAGTCCCTAGCCCAAATCCTGCAATGGTTCCAGTATCCTCAGGATTAATTGTTAACTTTCAAATGTCATTCAAGGCCCTACTTGTCCTCTCTCTGCTTGAATTTGCAGTCTTTTGTCTCCCACTTCTCTAAAGTGCCTACTCATCCATCAACACTCTTGCATGTTACATCCCTGTGCCTTTGTATGTACTTTGCCTGGAATGCCCTTTCCTTCTTCTCTAAAATTCCTTCCCATCACTCATTCCTTCAACAGCTGCATACTGAGCAGCAGCTCTGTGTCAGGCATTAAACTAGACACAGGAAGGAACAAGAAAGTAAAACTCAACATTAATGAAAATCGATAGATTGGGTATCCAAGTCTGTTGACCTCAACAGTCTGTGGGTTTGCACAAGGGTATGGCTTGTGCCTGGTTTACCTCTGTAATCTCAATATGCTAAATGCAACCAACTCCCCAGTGGATGTCCTTTATTTATTTATGACCAGACATTCATTGAGTGCCTGGATCCCTCCTCCCACATCTCTACAGGACATTCACAGGGAGGACAGTGGAAGGATGGATTGGCCTCTGGTGTTCTGTAGACATGGTTCTAATCCAACCAGTACTTACTTGCTGTGTGACCTTGAGCACATCACATCACCTCTCTGAGTTACTCCTTTGATGGTTGGTGATGATGCTATGTTTTATAATAGGACTGCCTGACGATGAAATGACTGCATAAAGTATATTCAACACATAGTCCTTACCATTGTATATCCAGAATGTCTATGTTCTGTACACCACCCCTCTCTCTCTCTCTCTAGGGATATTTCAATGAAGACGAAATATTTTCTCCAAAACCTCATAGTGAAGATGGAGAAAGTTATTCCCCACCTAGTAGCAAGTCAGGTAACTTTAGAAAAATTATTTCCCCTGGAGTACCCTTGAGTTTGAGGTCCAGAGCATACTTATTGGTCATTAAACAAGGGTTTCGTACCTTGGTCTTTGAAATAATTTTAAATTACAGTTCTGTCACCTACTGATTGTCTCTCCTGGGACAAGTGACTGAGCCTCCCTGAGTCTCAGTTTTCCTTTCTGTTAACAATCACAGTCTCTATCTCATTGGGCTGTCCCAAGGATCAATGCAAAGACGTTCTCAGTGTATAATTGGTGCTCAATATAAGGGAACAACTCTTACTACAATTTCTTTTGGAAATCCATTCAAGTCAATGCCATCTAGCCATAGATGTTCTAGCTTTCTTATCCCACCTCCTAGCCTGACACTTCTTTCTGTGCTTGTGATCCATGATCCAGGTGTGCCCTCTGATGGACGAAATCCTCAGACAGCTAGATGTGAAACTGCTGAAAAGTTTTCTGAGTGACTTTCTGTGTCCCTATGGGAAAAGCTGCTTGGGCTTGGCCAATGGCTGGAAGAAGTGCCCCCTCCCTAAGGGGTGTCTGCACATGCTCTGAAAACACCTTAGAGATGACCGCCTTATGATGACCAGAACTGTCCCCTGAGAGAGCTAGGACAACAGAAGGGAGACCCCTGCCAAGGGAGACTCACTCAAACTTCAGGTTAGTAGAGATTGTAGCTTCTCCCAAGATCTTCCCCCAGATCAGTAGGGACCACTGACTTCACCCCAAATCTGAATGCACCTCCACTCCATTTACAAATAATACCGTTCCTGCCTTCATGGAACTCACAGTCTAGGGGAGGAAGGGCACAAAATAAATAGTTAAGGATTGTTTGGAAAGTGTTGCTAGAATTGGATCTTGGGTTATGTGAATGGATGGATGGATGACATCCCCTTCGATGTAGTCTTGTAGGTGGGAGGGGAAAACACACTGGTGACTGATGCTGGACTTTGTTCTCACAGAATGGTCTGCAGTTCGTGAAATCAACAAACTATGAATTCAACCAACCTCCATGTGCCAAACTGAGCATCCTTCAGCTGCCTACAGTGATCAGGATTTGTCATGTCTTGGAACCAGAAGTAACCTTCAGAGACCATCTTCTGGGTCCTTGAAACCTTGTGGACTTCTGTCCTCTCCCTCAATAAATTCTCTCTAGCTCAGAAGAATGCAGAGGTCCTTCTGCCTGGGTCCTGAGGCTTGAATTCTAGAAACCTGGCTTGATCCAGGGTCCATTTTGACACTAAATGTCCCTGGGTTTTCCCATTAGCCCCAAAAAGACCAGAGAAAACAGTCCTGGTCTGTAGTTTGCAAAAAAAATGCCCATCCATGGGTTTACTGATCAACGCAGATGGTCCAACTGAGACTTTGCATTCTCTCAATTTTTCATTCTGCGCCAAGCATTTGTCTGGGCTTCAAGGGAACATAGAGAAAGGATGTCAGTGTGGACGAGTATCAGCTTTGGAGTTAAGCACGTTTGGGTTCAGAATAGGTTTAGGTAAAGCAGAAATTCCAGGAGGATGTGGACCGTACCCATCATGGTGATTAGTGAGTCCCTAGTCCTTTCTATGCATTAGAGAGCTAGACAGTGACAAAGGATGACAGAAGAGGAATCAATGCCTTTGAGTTGTGGTGCTGGAGAAGAGTATTGAATATACCATGGACTGCCAAAAGAACAAACAGGTCTCTCTTGCAGAGGGTGACACCAAGTTTCTCTTTAGAAGCAAAGATTTTGAAGCTTTGTCTCACATACTTTTGACACTTGGCCAGAAGTGATCAGTCCTTGGAGAAGGACATGATGCTTGGAAGGGTAGAGGGACAGAGCAAGACAAAAAGACCCTGGATGGGATGGATTGACATAGTATCTGGGATAACGAGTGCGGGTGTATCGGAATCAGTAAGATAGGCTCAGGATAGGGCGTAGGCCTCAGAGTTGTTGTACATAGATAGGGTTGCTATCAGTTACAGGTGACTCAATGGCACATAACGGTAACAACAGTCCCCAGGACAGAACTAGACACAGAGTATAGGCTCAGAAAATATTTATGGTTAAAAGAGTGGATGAGGGGAGCTCTGGTGGCCTAGTGGCATGGAGCTGCACTGCAATCCCAGAGGCGCACGATTTGAATCCACCAGATGCTCTGCCGGGGAAGGAGGGACAATCTCCTCCTGTACCAGTCAGATCTGATTTGACGGTACACTGACACAAATTTAAAAAAAAAAAAAAAAGAGTGGAAGACTCTTGGTCTCACAATTAACTAGTTATATTTGGGATACAATTTTTCTATCTATAATATGTAAGCGGTATAGCCCTAGTTTGTCCATTTGCTGTACAGAGGTAACTCATGATTGCTGTGATGCGAAACACTGTGACACTGATGTGTCAAATGCAATAATGGTTACCCACGTTGGACAATGTTAGGTGGAGCTCCCTGATTAAAACAAGCTTGGAAGCAGGAGTGACATCCACTTCTGAAATGGCTTGCCTCCAGAAACTATGCACTCGGAGAAATTATGACAGTTATATAAGTGTTCAGGTATTTCATTCATAGGGTCACTATGAGTCGTCTACAACTTGACAGCACTTAACAACAACATAGAGAGAGCTATGTTGGCCTAGTGGACAGAAAGTGATGCTACCAAGTCAAAGATGGGGGATTTTAATCTACGGCCCTCAGGCCTGGTTTTAATTGTTTTGGTCAAACAGTCTTCTAAGCGGTGTAGCACTGGTCTGTCCATTTGCTGTACAGAGGTAACTTGTGGTTGCTGTGATGCTAAACACTGGTATTTGATGAGTCAAATGTGATAATGGTTACCCATGGTGGACAGTGTTTGGTGGAGCTCTCAATTAAAACAAGCTTGGAAACAGGAGTGGCATCCACTTCTGAAATAGCCTGCCTCCGGAAACTCTATGAACTTGCAAAAAGGATGAAAGTTATACAGGTGTTCAGGTCTTTAGTTCATAAGGTCGCTATGCGTCGTCTATGACTTGATGACACTTAAAAACAACAATATGGGAACAGTATAGAAATAACTACTTTTCATTCTCCCTCATCTGCAAAATGGAAACAGAAATCTTACAAATTGCAGAAATTCTACCACAGCTTTATAAAACTATGTCAGCATCTACTGATGTTGAACATATACCTACACTATGGCCCCCAAATTCCCTTCCAGGAATATACACAACAGAAATGCATGTGCATGGGCATCAAAAGATGTGCGCAATGGTCTTCACAGCAGTAACATTCATAAGAAAAGTAAAAAAAAAACAAACCAACTGTCATAAAGTCAATTCAGACTGATAACAACTCCACGAGACAGAATAGAACTACTCCACAGCATTTGCAAGACCATAAATCTTTACCTAAGCAGACTGCTACATCTTTCTTCACCAGAGCTGCTGGTAGGTTCCAACCATTGACCTTTTAGTTAATATCAAAAGTTTAAGCACTGTGCCACCACAGTGAATGTGAAAAAAATCCCTCATATTCATAGGAGTCCCAGACTAAAGCCTCCCTAAATGTCCATCTGAAAAGTGGATAAATAGAATGAGTACCTCATGGCACAGCCACCATATGGGATGTGTTGCTAGGTGCTGTGGAATCAACACCAACTCATAGCAATCCCATGTACAGCAGAACCTGTACCATCCTACAATCACTACTATGTCAACATACCTTAGTGAGGGTCTTTCTTTTTTTTTTACAGATTTAAATATATCTATATAGATACATATATAGCTCAGAAACAAGCAAAATTTATCCATATTGTTATAGATCAGGAGAACGGCCACCCCTGGAGAAAGATTAGTGACCGGAAGGAGACAAAAGAGGCCACTGGAGAATTGATTAGAATAGTTACCTTGAGGCATGCTTGTAATGAGTACTTTTACAAAAATCAGATTATGGGTTGACTCTGGAGAACATTATGCTGAGTGAAATATCCCAGTCACAAAAGGACAAATATTACATGATGCCACTGTTGTAGAATGGGACTGTCCTT